GTAGTAGTAGTAGTAGTAGTAGTAGTAGTAGTAGTAGTAGTAGTAGTAGCCGTCGTCGTCGTAGTAGTAGTAGTAATAATCGTAGTAGTAGTAGTAGTAGTAGTAGTAGTAGTAGTAGTAGAAGTAGTAGTGGTAGTAGTAGTACTCGTAGTAGTAGTAGTAGTAGTAGTAGTAGTAGTAGTAGTAGTAGTAGTAGTAGTGGTAGTCGTAGTAGTAGTAGTAGTAGTAGTAGAAGAAGTAGAAGTAGAAGTAGAAGTAGAAGTAGAAGTAGAAGTAGTAGTAGTAGTAGTAGTAGTTATAGTCGTAGTAGTAGTTAGTAGTAATGATAGTAGTACTGGTAGTGGTGCTGGTAGTAGTAGTTGTTGTTGCCGTCGTCGTCGCCGTAGTCACAAAAATAATGAAGGGCGAGGCGGGGGTCGAAACACTCGGGACACTGGGCGGACCTGGGGATCCAGGGGCCGCAGTGTGCAGGGCAGGCGGCGGCAGCAGCAAAAGGCAAAGAGAGAGGCGGGATACTCGTGACTCTGGGTGGTGACGTGTTGATCTGGCGGCCGCGGTATGCAAGGTGGGCGGGGTGGACCCCTGTTCTTAAAATCGGTCAGCCAACTTGCCGAGTGGGGAGTGATGCGACCGATTGCGATGAAACATGATGGCGATTGTCTCCTCATCCTTGTACTGCTCCTCCTGACCTCAAGGCGTTCTTGCGCTATCTTGGGGCCAAATTGGGCCGTCTTGGATCACTCTTGGTATGCTTTGCGACCCTCGTGCCTCCCGGGACAATTGGGGCCATCCTGCGTCTCTTTTGGGCCAGATCGGTTGATTGCAGTAGCCGTCGTGACCATCATCATGATCACCGTCATCACATCCTCAGCACAGTCGCGCTCATAATTCGCACCACGGTCACATATGACAACATCCATACCCTCGGCACCGCATCAAAATCACTACAATCGATCTCACCACCGTCCTTTTCACAATCGCCACCACCGTCACACACATGTGAGCTATCTGTACTGGCGGACACTACCGCTATAAACCGCCTCTATCCGCGGCCAGCAATGCACCTTGACCCCCCCTCCCCATGCCACGCGTCTTGCCTTTGATTCCTTTCGCGGACTGGCCTCGGAGCTGCCCGCCCCATCTCTGAGACCAGCGTCGCCGAGATTGTTTCGCATGTCCTTGGGCACGAAGCGCGCCTCCAAAGGCCCAGGCCTGCAGAAACTGGCCGTCGTGTTTCCCTTTCGGTTTTCTCATGACGCCTGGGCCGGCTGGTCGGTTTCGGGGCCTATAGCTCCGGTCCCACGAGGCGGCCGTCCCGGCATGCCAAGGCTTAGCAGGGCGCACCGGAAGGGAATTAGTCACTGCGTGGAGCTCCCCATATGCGCAGCTATGTGCATGGACCTTTTCTTCCGACGTGGGTGTCTAGGCGCAAGAGTTTTAGAATATAAGCGGGCTTGGGTATTGACAGGCTGGGAGCCAATCTAGTTGTGAAAGAGTTGGAGTGTGAATGGGTCTCCATAGTACGAGTGAGTCTATGCGCGTGGATCTAAATATGTGTAAGTTTAGGATGGTTGTACCTGCGCGTCAGTGGCCTGATCACGACTAGGCGCGACTGAATCGAAATGACCACGCGATCCCTCCCTCCATAGTGAAGCAAGGGATAGGGGTTCTAATGCTAACGCCGTGCGAAACCTTTGCGCTTCGTTGGCTGGCCCAGAAGATCTCACGCAGTGGCTGGACCGTGATACAGCAATTCACGCCACGGAGCCACAAAAGAGTGACAACATTTCTATATATATATATATATATATGAGTGTGTAGGACCATCGGTAAAACAGAAAAAAACAGATTCGTGTTCCAGGAGATGCCAACTCTATGGGGACATAAACGGGGAACACATGGGACTGCAGCCACAGGAGAAGGGCAAACCATACGCACGACACAACAGGATTCGCGTCCCAAGATAAGCCTCATCTATAATTACATGGTAGCACACATAGGATTGGAACCACTCCTGTGGCCTCCTGGTGCTTCCTGGAAGCTCTTGAAGCCTCCTGTGGCATCCTTGGTCCTCCGGGGGCGTCCTGGGACCTCCTTGAACCTTTTGGGGCCTTCTGGGGCCTCCTGGTGCCTCCTGGGGGCCTCCTGGTGCCTTCTCGTACCTCCTGGTGCCTCCTGCAGCTTCCTGGATCCTCCTGGGGCCTCCTGGGGAAGATTCGCGTCCCAGGACAAGCCCAATATATAGGAACATGCGTAAAACAAAACACCTAGGACTGGAGCCACAGGAGAGGGGCAATACATAGCAACAGATGAAACACACGAAGAATTCGTCCACTAGGAGAGTCCCACTTAAAAGAAACATGATTAAACACGTGGGATTGGAGCCACAGAGGCGGGACAATACATACGAACAAACGTAAAGCAATGAGGCTTCGACCTGCCCGCAAGCACGTCTGGCCACTAAAACAAGCAAGCCGCTAGAGGCATCCTCACAATCTGTGCCCCCTGGGGTGCGAAAGCAAGCGCCTCGCCTGAGGCACCTCCAAGATCTGCCCCCCCCCAAAAAAAAGATGTTGGGTTGGCAAACGAGCAAACAAGCCGAGACATTCCAACAACCTGGGCGCGAACGGGGGAATGTGATACTCCCTGGCGGCCACCCCTTGGAGATGCTGAAACCAGCGCATCGCCTGGCCACCAACAATACGCAAACCGCTCGATAGATCTTCGCAATCCGCACCGTCCCCCCCCCACCCCACCCCTCCTGCGGTGCGAAAACCAGCGCCTCGCCCAATACATGGTCAAACTCAAGTGTGCGACAACCAGCGCCTCGCCCGAGACGTCCTGAACATCTGCTCCGACAGCGGCGGATGTTGGGCGTGCACACAGGCAAACCGCTCAAGACATTCCCACCATCTGGGCGCGAACGGAGGAATGACATACTCTATGGCGGCCCCCCTTGGTGGTTCTAAAACCAGCGCCTCGCCCGAGACAACCTCGCAATCTGCTCTGTCATCATCAACGTGATCATGATGATCATCATCGTCATTATCATCATCAGCATCATCAGCAACCACATCCTCCTCCTCCACCTCCTCCTCATCATCGTCAGCATCACCATCATCATCATCATCATAATCATCATCATCATCACCACCATCATCATCATCATCATCATCAGCAGCAACATCATCGTCACCATCATCATCATCATCAACAGCAACAGCACCAGCATCATAAGCATCAACAGCATCATCATCATTATCATCATCGTCGGCATCAGCATCAGCATCAGCAGCATCAGCAGCATCATCATCATCATCATCATCATCCTCATCATCATCATCATCATCCTCCTCATCCTCACCCTCATCAGCATCATCATCACTATCAGCATCATCAGAAGAGGGTGGTGGGCGAGCCTTCTCCTTCTCGTTCTCGGCGCGGCCTGAGTAATAACACGAACACCCTCTTGGGACCTGGGGAGAAATCGCCCCTGGAGGCCTGGCACCCCGCAGGCAACTTCGGAACACTTCGGCGCGGACCCTTCCTCACCTCGCCCAGCCCGCCGCGCCCCGCCCCGCCCCGCTCCGCCCCGCCGCCCTGGCCGCCCCGCCCTGCCCCGCTCCACAATTATTAGTCAATATGAATACTACTCTCCCTCTTCCCCTGATGACGTCTTGGGAATCATCGCCCCCCCCCGCGCACTGTTTTTTACACACAGGTTTCCCCCGAGTTGGGCTTTCGCTTGCATTTGTTTCCAAAATGCTGCTCTCGCTGAGGCGCCGGCCTCATTTTCGGGCCCCGCTCGTTCCGAATCGTGCTCCCGCTGTAGCGCTGGCATCATTTCCGCCGGCGCCCGGGCTGCACGCCCGAGCCGGCGCCCGGGCCGGCACCCGGGCCAGGTCCGGAGCCAGTTCCGGCCGGCGCCGGAAAATCGATTTCCGAGGCGGCGCCGAAAAAAGGCAATTGTAATACACATTTTTCTTCTGAAAATGCTGAATTTCTTCTTCCGGCGCCCGGGAGGCCTCCCGGGCCGATTCCGACGCGCAGGCCGGCGCCCGAGCCAGCGCCCGGGCCAGACGCCCGAGCCGGCGCCTGGGCCGGCGCCTGGGCCGGGTCCGGAGCCGGTTCCGGCCGGCGCCGGAAAATCGAGTTCCGAGGCGGCGCCGAAAAAAGGCCATTCTAATACACATTTTTCTTTTGAAAATGCTGCATTTCTTCTTCTGGCGCCCGGGGAAGCCTTTCCCGGAGTTAGGTTTTCGCTTGCATTTTTTCCCAAAATGCTGCTCTCGTCGCTGAGGCGCCGGCCTCATTTTCGGACCCCGCTCGTTCCGAATCGTGCTTTCGCTGCAGCGCTGGCCTCATTTCCGTGCTTCCGGGGCCGATTCCGGCGTGCTTCCGCTCGTTCCGAATCGTGCTCCCGCTGCAGCGCTGGCCTCATTTCCGCGCTTCCGCTCGTTTCGACTTGCGCTCCCGGTGCAGCGCTGGCGTCATTTCCCGTGCCATGCCACGGCATGCAATGCAATGCTAGGTTGATGCTACGCTTCGCGGTGCTCTTCTACGCCATGCCATGCCGTGCTCTACAATGCATCGCGTACCCTTTCGGGATCATCGCCCTGCTTGACATCCGACTGTGCAAGTAGAGAGGGGATCTGCGCCATGGTAAGGGATGGGAGGGAGGGGTAGGATGTCAGATATGACGCGAGCGCACCTAGCTTGGCCCAGCCCCTCCCCCCCTCCCGCGCCGCCCGTCCTGCCCCGCCCAGCCCACCCCGCCTTCGCGCCCTGCCCTCCTCCTCCTCCTCCTCCTCCTCCTCCTCCTCCTCCTCCTCCTCCTCCTCCTCCTCCTCCTCCCTCCTCCCTCATCCCTCATCCCTCATCCCTCCTCCTCCTCCTCCTCCCCCTCGCCATAGCCCTATCCCCAGCCCTGGCCCAGGCCGCCCCGGCCCCGGCCCCGCCACTGCAGGGACACACGCCCTGCCCGGCCGCGCGGACCGCGCCTGAAACGCAGGCTGCGTCGTGGGACTGGGAGGGCTTCTGGGAGGGCAGAGCCCCGCGTAGAACTTGAGCACACATGGGCAGCAAAGGGGGACGAGGGAGGACATGGGACCCCGCTCTGTCCCAGCTATTCAAAACGTTGCAGCCATCGTGCTACCATTAGGTCGGGCATGTCCTTCTACAGGCGGATGTTGGACGATACGTAGACCATACGCAAGCATGTCCCAAACATAATCGAGCATAGTAGAATCAAGTGTTGGATATTTTGTGACCCTGTTTGAATATTACTCATGTGGGGGGGCAGGCCCGACTTAAGACCATTTGGAACGCATCCCAAGGAACGAAGGTGTTTTTGTGTCTGGCCACGGCGGGCCCAGGCCACAAACACAGGCTCCACGACGCCGGTGTGCGCTGGAGGAGCGGCCCCCAGACCCGAGCCCCTCCCGAGCCCACAGCGGTGCTTCTTCCCTAAGATCCAACGTTGCCAAACAATGTTCGGGCGAAGAGCTTGAAAACAATATGTTCCATTGTTCCTTGAGATCCGACGTTGCTTATTCGTTGAGATCCGACGGGCGGAGAGCGGTGTAACATGAGCTGTTCCACCGTCGGGGACGCCTGCCCCCCGGGCGGCTGCAAAGTTTGTACCCTTACAGTGCCACGTAGGGGTACAGAGTTTCCAGCCGCCTGGGAGGCAGGCGTCCCTTACGGCGGAAAAGTTTATGTCATACTGCTCTTCGCCCGCTTAAACTTTGCAACATCGCAGGAAATCACGCCCTGACCCCACGGACACCACGCTTCTGCGCAATTTCTCGAGCCGGATCGATGTGTGAGAGCCCCAGGGCCCGACATTGAGCCACCACGCCCGCGGAAAGATTGCAACGCCAGGGTCTCAAAGGAGGAGGAGGAGGAGGAGGAGGCGGACGTGGAGGAGGAGGAGGCGGAGGAGGAGGAGGAGGGGGAGGAGGATTTCGATGTCTTGGCTGCACTCAAAACCTTGCGACCTGCTGCGCCCGAACTCTTGAGCAGGGACCGACCGTCCTGGCATTCCTATATGTTGCAGTGGTCTAGATTTTCACGTCTAGGTTCAGCATCAGGAGTGCGATTCCGTACCCACTATGGCTCAAGGGAAAAACGTCTGTTTGCCTCCGTCTGCCACAATTGCTAGCGGAGCGTGGCCACGGGCGGGGAGCCATGGGCGAGGGCAGGCCAGCCTCCAGGTAGGCTGCCCCTCGCTTGCGAGCCCCTGCCCCCGGCTGTGCTCGCTGCTCGCACCATCCGAGCAGCGTGGGATCCACGGCTTGCGCGATGCCCGATGATAGCAAGACGGAAGCGACGTACCACACCGAGGGCGGCGGAGCCGGTCAGAGGGGCAGCTCGGGCGGCTCAGGCGGCCCGCGCGGCCCAGGCGCTTCCCCAGGAGGAGGCGGCGAGCAGGTCCCGCCGGGCGGAGGCGGTCCTGTCCCGCACACGCCAGGCGTCTAGAAGGAGGAGCTCAGGGAGATGATCCGCAGCATAGTGCTAGACACTATCGGGTCGAGGGCCCTGACTTCGGAAGGCGACTCGAGACCTCGGGGTGGACGAGAGAACGACGAGTGGGCTGATCCGGCCAAGGACCCCTGGGGAGGTTCCAAGCCCTGAGCTGGCGAGGCTAGCTGGAAGGACAACGGCTGGAGAGACTCGAACCGCCGGTACAGCCGCGAGGGCCGCTAGGAGGATACCAAGCAGGGGAATGCGTGGGCCTCTGGTGGTCGAGACGGCGGCTGGGAAGACGGAGGCGGTCGAGATTCGTCGTGGGGCGACTCTGGCAGCTGGTACGGCGGCGGGTGTGGAGACTTTAGAGACCCGCCGAGCTGGCCTGGCTGGGGTCACTACAGGCAGTGGAAGAGAGCCATGCGCCGCTGGAATACGAATACTGATGTGAAGCAGTGGCGCCGGGCAGAGAAGTTCATGAAGCTGTTCGAGTACGGCTTCCAGGCCAAGTTCGACGACATCAGCGAGACGCAGCTCGTGTCCGAGGACTGGCTGGACATCCTGCTAGGTCGTATGGACCTCATGGCAGGAGAGCGTGAAGGAGATGATCTACGACGTGCTGGGCGCAAGGCCTTCTTCGAGGCCACGCGCGAGGCCAAGGAGGGTCTCACGTAGTTCGTGTGCCGACGAGAGGCGCAATTTCTCGAAGCCGAAAGTCACGACCTATGGATGAGCGAGAAGCTGAAGGGCTTACTCCTGGAGGAGGGAGCGGGCCTCTCGGTGCAGGGCGCTCAGAACCCACGGACGCTGACCCAGGGCAAGACGGACTTCAAGAGCAACGCCTGGGCGCTCAAGCAGATGGACGCCAGTGGTGCTGAGCGTCTTCTTCCAGGGCGGTCAGGCAACATGATGGCAGCGTCCTCTTCTGAGGGCGTCGGCCCAGGCTCTGATCCGGCTGGCAGCGGTGCTTTTCAGTCCTCCCCCTTTCCTCCTCCCTCTGGTCGGTCGGAGGTCGGTGCCGAGGGTGAGGAAGCCGACGAGAACCTCTACGACGATGAAGACTCGGAGGCCGAGGAGGACGATGACGACGCCGAGGCGCTGCTGGCAGAGCTGGAGGAACTGGACTTGTACGAAGACCAGCTCGACGAGTTCTGGGTGATGATCGAGGGTCGTCGCACCAACCGCACCTGGAAGCAGAACAAGGACCTCAAGCGCGCGGCGAAGAAGGACCGCGAGTACTTCGGAGTAAAGCCTCGCTCCGGAGACCGGGCGGTGCCGCCGCCTCCTCGAGCTGACCGCTACGCTATCGTTTCCGAGACTCGGGCGGCCGTCGAGATCGAGGGACCCGGGGCCGATTCAAGCCCAAGCTGTCGATCGAGCAGCAGATGAAGGTGACACGGTGTCGCCGCTGTAACGAGAAGGGACACTGGGGCCGTGGGTGCCCGAAGTTCGGCGACGGCAAGAGGACCGAGCGCTCCAGGGGAGAGCGCCGCGATCGACCGAAGGACGAGCGCCAGAAGATGTCTGCCTACATGTTCGACGCCGTTGTGGGAGGCAACTCGGTGGCACTCGCATCGTGGAAGGACGCTGAGGGAGCGATCACGTCGGGCTCCGTGTATATCGCCGCGGCCGCCGACCAGGGGCTGGTCGATCCTGGGGCCGGGAGTGACCTGGTCGGTGTGCAGGCTCTCAACCGAGAGTCAAGGGCGCTCGCGGAGCTCGACGTGCAGTATGTTGAGATTCCTCAGTCGCACCAGCCGCTGAAGGCAGCACACGGTGTGGGAGGCATGGCCAAGGTCATCAGCGGCATTCTCTCCCCCATCTGTCTCGGGGGCGTGTTCGGCATTATCGAGACCACCGTCCTAGCGGACAATGTTCCACACATCATCTCGGTCAACTTGCTGGACTGCCTGGAGAGCGTGATCGATCTGCCTCAGAACGTCATGATGGCCCACGCCCTGGGCGAGGAGATCCCACTGACCCGTCTGAAGTCGGGCCACCGTCTGGCCCAGATCATCTGTCCTCTCCAGGAGCGGGCAACAGTTCCCGACGCAGCTTTAGAGCGTTATCCGTTTCTCAAGGCAGACTCTTTCGAGTTAGGCAGCAAGGGACCGCCGTCTATGTCGGACGATAGAGTCGTGTCGCAGTACATCCCTCTCCTCCTCATCACCCTCATCCTCTGGGAGATGTTCGGGTTCGTGATTGAGTACGGGGGGAGCTACTTCGATCGACTCGAGGGCGTAGGCTTCGGGAACATCTTGGGCGGCCTCGTCTGGCCACGAGCTCGGTTAGCGTCTTCTGAACCCGTCGGGGCCTCAGGATCAGCGGCGAGAGCTAAGGTGCCGGGTAGAAGGTCTAGGACGTTATGGAGTTGCTGGAGACTGAATTGGGTCCTTGTGGTAGTGGCGTCCGTCGTCTGTTCCGTAGACCCTTGGGGCTCAAGCCTAGCTTTCAGCAGTCTACGATTTTCACGCTCACCGGCATCCCAGAGACACCGACGGGATGCGATCCATCTTCATCCTGCTCAGCTCGACGCTCGCTCTCGCCATGGCTAGCAAGAAGACCGACCCGAAGGCCAAGCAGGCCACAGAGCTATAGCGCGCCGCGCAGGTCAGGGAGACCCCGAGTCCGAAGCAGAGTCAATTGTCAGCTCGAAGCTGGTCGCGCCGGAGATGGCCGGGACGTTCGTCAGCCCCCTCGCCAACGCCATGACGCCGCATCTGGGCGCCGAGGAGGGCTCGGGAGCGAGTCCAGACGCAGCGATGACGTCACCTGCGCAAGGAGGCCCAGCAGGTCAGTGGGCAGCGGGCTCCAGCAACGGGGGAGGCCAGCCGCTCTGGACCGTGCAGCCGGCTCCTCCAGCTCAACCCGCGCTGTGGGCAGCAGCGGCAGCAGCGAGCGAGTGGCCGCCGCCGGTGCCGCCGGCGACAGGCCATCATCCGGGCTCGGGACTGGCACCTCAGGTTCAAGGGGTGCCTCGAGCTCCGTTGACGGGAATCTCGGACTGGTCGGCGGGCGGGACGCAGCCAGCAGCATCGGCCAACCCCGCGGCACCTCAGGGAGCTCCTCATCTACAGCAAGGTCTGGCGCCGGGCGCGGCCGTCAAGCCGCCTCCCGCGATATTCGTTCTGGGGGGCCCAACGCCAGCGATACCAGCGAAGCCACCTCCAAGCTTCCACCACATTGCGATCACCCAGCCGATCAGATAGCCTACTACGGGAATCAGCATGGCTCGGGATCGCGGTGTCGGCGGTGTGGGCAACGGCTGGTGTACACCACGTGGGTGCCGAGAGGCGCCCAGGCCGCGGCCGGTCCGCCACAGCAGTCCGCAGCCGAGGCAGCTCGCGCCGCGGCGAGCTCAGCCAACCGCGCGGTCGAGATACTCCCAAACGACCCGCAGTTCCGCGCGGGAGGTGCAGCTCTCACTACCATCAACTCGCTGAGCGGGATGTTACAAGGTCTCCAATGGCAACTCAACGCAGTACCAGAGGGGGTACGCGCGCTGGGTCGCGTGCAGGAGGTCATCAATCAGATGCACGAGACCGTGTCCGCGGTGCAGCAGACGCCGTCACAGGTCGAGG